AGAGGGACTTTAAAAAGCATTATGGTGTATGAAAACAAAAGATCATATATTGATTCCCTTTATATATTGAAGAGATAATCCAAAGCAGATTAGTGGTAGTCAGAAGCTGTGGGCGACAAAATGGGTAGTTAACAGGTCTGAGGGTTTCCTTTTAGGATGAGGAAAATGCCTTGGAACTAGATAAAAGCAATGGTTGTACAACATTGTGAATGTGCCAAATGCCACCAGATTGCTCGTTTAAAAAATGGTAATAAGGGGCTGGGGTTGTGGCTCAGTGGTAGAGTGCTTGCCTAGCATGTGTAAAGCACTGCATATAAATGATAAAGGTCCATTGACAACTTAAAAATATATATATGGTAATGAACCAGGCATGGTGGTACACACCTGTAACCCCAGCTACTAGGGCATTGCCACCCCCCAAGGAAAAAAGCTTCTGAGGACAAGCTCAATCTGCAGTTAGGCCACATCTATGTAGCAGTAAGGAATGATGTGCAAGAAATGACTCATGAGGCACCTTTTTACTGGCTATTGAGCTATTCATTTCTGCATTTGGTTAATATTGACTTTCTCAATAATGTTCATCTTGTCTCTCCAATAAACCTCCTTGAGTTTAGAATTGTCATCATGAATTAGTACCAGGTATACATACAGTAGATAGCTCACCAAAGATTTAACTGCCTTATTTAAAATAATTCCCAACTGGCTAGTGTTTCTCAAGATGTGAGATGTATCCAGTTAATAGGTTTATAAAGAAACAGACCTATTAGTATAATTTCAAAAGGGAAAGACTGTCCACTTCTTCTGATTACATGAAACTATAATTTGTGTATACTATCTTCAGCACAGCTAGCCTCTATTTCTTACAGATTCACAAACCTCCAAAGTATTTTTTGTTACTGGGGAATAGTCCTTGCGGGGGCTTTACCACTGGATTACATTTTCAGTCTTTTTGAGGCAGGGTCTAAGCTGCTAAGGCTGGCCTGGAAGCCTCCTGACTCAGCCTCTCAAATCACTGGGATTATAGGCGCGCACCATCGGGCCTGGTAACCTAAATGAAATGTTTATAGCTTTTTGTTTCTGGGATTAAACCCAAGGCCTTGCACATGCTAGGGAAGGATGATATACCAAGGACTGTAGTCCTACTGCTGCTGGCTTCTTCTTTTTTTTTGTTATTGTGAAGTGAACCCAGGGGCACTTTATCAGAGATATATCCCCAGCCCTTTTTATTTTTTGAGAATCTTGCTAAGTTGCTTAGACTGGCCTCAAACTTGAAATCCCCCTGCTTCAGCCTCCCGGGTCCCAGGTATTACAGGCGTGCCACTGCACCTGGCCTGGCTTCACTTTTTTCCCTTTCTTTTGGTACTGACGATTGAACCCATTAAATCATTGAATCACATCCCCAGACCTTTTTATTTATTTTTGAGACTAAGTGGCTAAGGTTGGCCTTGAACTTGAAATCCTCCTGTACCAGAGAATACAGGTGTGTGTTACAACACCCAACTGGCTTTCTCATTTTGAGTATCAACTGAGTGTTTCCAGTAGTGCCCGTCTGCGAGATTCATCAAATTTTTGATAAGAGTTCACTGATGTGACAAGAACATCACATGCTAACAAGATGCTGCCACAATTTGTGAGGATCATACCATACACTGCACTACAAAAGCAGAAGTCAAAAGCTGAAGCTGGGGAAAAAAAAAATCCATTACAAAGCAATATATGTGACTAACATTGGTCTGCTCCCAACCAAAGAAGGAGGGGGAAAGAAGAAGCATTCAGTCAGTGGCTATATTTAACAAGTATCAAGATCTAATTGCCTAAATTTTATTATTCCAACTGCTATGTAAAGAGAAGTGTCAGCTGCTTTGGGAATGTACTTTTGCCTTCAATCAAGGTGGGAAGCCACGCAACTGTGTAAGACAAGCCCATGGGTTACATAGTTCAGAAGGAAATGGTTGAGTCTCTTCATCAAAATTAGCTTACAGCATATTCCAGTAACACACACCCTAGTACTGCTTATAAATCAAAGAAGAAAGAACAATGCATTATATAACACATCCCTTGAAACAGGGAAAAAGAGGATTATTCTGTATGAATATTATCTTTGGCCTCTGCATCACTTTGTCCCACTTCAGATTCCACAGCAGCCGGGGCAGGAACAGCCACTGTTAGGGCATTTTCTGCCTCTGCTGCCAGCACTGTGGCCTCACTTCCTGCCTCAGCTTCGGTACTGCCCTTCTCAGATGATGTTCCACAGGAAGTCTGCTCTTCCAGTAGCTGTTCAATGTGAAGATCGCTGCTGGCCTCTGTTGCACCCACTGGGACTTGCCCTTCAGCCAGCATTTCACCACTCTCACCAGCTGGCACTCCTTCCCCATCAACAGCTCTCACAGCTGCTGTAATCACCTCTGCTAAGACTTCTGCAGCCACCTCCTCAGGTGTCTCTTCCTTATCTTCACCTCCTAAATTGTCATCTCCTTCTATTTCAGGATCAACGGTTTCATTAGTGAAAGGGTCCTCACCCTATACAAAAGGAAACACAGATCAGTTGGAGAAATGAGTTTGAAGTAGGCCAGGTTTCTGGGAGCTCATGTTTTCAGGCCTGGCAGAGTCCACCAGAGAATCTCTTAAATTCCCAACAGCTTCAAAAAAGACTTCTCAGAAAATCTTCACCAGAACTATTTTGCAATCTTCTCTTTGTTTTTAAATATGTATTTAGTTGTAGATGAACACACAGTATATTTATTTTTATTTTATTATTTTTTAAAAATATCTTTTGTTTATTCATTTTTATGTGGTACTGAGGATCAAACCCAGTGCCTCACATGTGTGAGGCAAGTGCTCTGCCACTGAGCCACAGCCCCAGCCCCTGTATATTTATTTTTATGTGGTTCTGAGGATCAAACCCAGTGCCTCACACAGGCGAGGCAAGCACTTGACCACTGAGCTACAACCCCAGTCCCCCCACTTTTTTTGTGTGGTACTAGGGATTGAACCCAGGGCCTCACATGTATATGCTAATAGGCCTAGCCCCTGTTTCGCATTTTTTATTCACACACATAACCAGGAGGCATAGTTTGGATTTAGGATTTCTTAAATGACTTAATAAACAGTTACAGGAAGACTATTTTTAAATTTTAGTTTAATTTAAGCTCATGGCCCTTATATGAAGATTGTTCTCACTTTACAGATAAGGAAATGAAACTTCAAGATCATTAATTTGCTGAGCACAATGGTGCACTCTTATAATCCAGTGGCTTTAAAGGCCGAGGCAGGAAGATGGCAAGTTCAAAGCCAGCCTCAGCAACTTAGCAAGGCCCTATCTCAAAAAGATAAAAAGAGCTGGGGATGTTGCTCAGTGGTTAAGTGCCCCTGGGTTTAATCCCCAGAACCCCCCCTCCTCAATTTAAAACAAAAAAGCAAACTAACTTGCCTGAGATCACACAGCTATTAACCATTAGAGTGATGGTTCTAACCCAAGTCTAACACCCTCAGAAGCCACACTTCTCACTAGCACACGCCAATATTGTCCCTACCCTGAAAAAGGTATTCTAAAAAGCATCCCTACAAAATTAAGAAGCATGTTTTAAAATATGGTGCTTAAGCTGGGGGTGTAGTTTTCAGTGGCAGACTGTGTGCTTAGTATGTACAAGACCCTGCACTCAATTCCCAACATGAAAAACAAATAAGTGAAATCTCTCTCTCTCCTCAACAATTACCATCTACCTTTAATTTTTTTTTTTTTTGAAACAGGTCTCACTATGTTGCTCAGGCTGACCCTCTAAGTTGTCACGTAGCCAAGGCTGGACTGATGCATTCCAGTATCAAAAAGACTCAAAATTGGAGTCTTTTGACGTATACTACCAGAGAAATGAAAAAGCTGTGCTCCATTTGTGTACAATGAACCAAATGCATTCTGCTGTCATGTATAACTAATTAGAACAAATATATATATAAATGGAGTCTTTTGACTACATAAATACTACACTCTGGATATAATTCCATACTCATCCTCCATTTCAAAGACTTCTCCTGCCCCTTGGATTCCAAAATACAAACCTTGAGGTATTTTTCCAGCATCTTCACTATGTGTCTGTTGTTCAAAACACTCTTAGCCACGTGGAGACTTGTTTTCTTGAACTGTTCAGCAGCCAACTGCAAAGGGAACCAAACATGGGATTTCTAAAATGCAGAGGAGTAAGAGAACAAACTAGCCAGATTATTCCAAGCAGCCCTCAGAGGCAACTAATACCATTTTTTGTTGACACAAATATCAAAATGCCAGGCTACAAAAATGAGAGAAAGCAGGCCATCTGTGAGTCTTTGGAATAAAGACAGTGAAACCAAGTAGAACAGTTTAATAATCTGAAGACAAAAACAGAGACATGCCATTGCTATCAACATGCCATGTAAAGAAGCAAGAAAATTTACAATTACAAACTATATGGATTAAGTAAGGGAAATGGATAAGCCTTCACAGTAAGTTTAACAGCAGCAATAAGAATGTGTCAATGTGTTTTAGAGCTTGCACACTGACATACTAATCCCTTGCTTGCAGAGTGCTTTTTTGCTCATTTTTAATAGTACTGTGGCATGGTAAGCATCTATTGAAACCACCAGTTACCAGTTGGGTAACTATAGATAAAGATGTTGTTAGTGGGGTGTGGTGGAGAATGCCTGTAATCGAAGCTACTTGGGAGGGTGAAGCAGGAGAGTCCCAGTTCCAGGCCAGCCTGGGCAATTTACCAAGACCTGCCTCAAAAACTAAAGGGCTAGGGATGTAGCTCAGTGATAAAGCACTCTGGTTCAAACCTTGATGTAGAAAAAGAAACATGTTTTAAAATATGGTGCTGGGGGTATAGTTTTCAATGGCAGACTGTGTGCTTAGTATGTATAAGACCCTACCATTCAGTTCCCAACATGAAAAACAAATAAGTGAAATCTTTCTACCTCTCTCCTCAACAATTACCATCTACCTTTAATTTTTATTTTTTTTGAAACAGGTCTCAACCAACAACAATGCCACATTAAACCAGAGGTCCACAACACTACAGCCTATGGACCAAACTAGCCACACCCACTCTTTATCACCCCTCACCAGACACAGATACATGGCCTTGCAGGGGATGAGCTTTAGGAACCCTTCAGATCACAAAATTCAAAGATGCTAAGGCCCATATATAAAATGGTACAGGCATCTGCACAAAACCTATGCACTGCATGTATATCCTCCCTACACTTTAAATACTACGTACATAGTTGTTATACTGATCAGCAACTACTTCAGTCTATGGGTGTGAAACTCATGGGTAAGGAGGATTGAATATACTTAAAAACTGACAACAACAATAATAAACCGTGCTGACTCTTAAGTTAAACATTTAGCCTCAGGACCCATTAGCTCACAAGGACACAACTTGCCCTGAAACCTAGGTTCCCCATACCCCTGGGCTCTTAATGGCCCTGAGCCTCAGCTTACAGATGTCCATAGCTGTCCAGCTACTAGGGAATGTATGTGGTGGTTAACAGAACATTCTGAGGGCTGGGGATGTGGCTCAAGCGGTAGCGCTCGCCTGGCATGCGTGCGGCCCGGGTTCGATCCTCAGCACCACATACAAACAAAGATGTTGTGTCCCCCAAAAACTAAAAAAATAAATATTAAAAAAAAAATTCAAAAAAAAAAAAAAAACATTCTGAAATCAGGACAATTTCAGCTATTGTATTTGATAAATTCTAAGCAACTTATTTTCTCACTTTTCTGTGTGTAGTGGGGGTGGCGGGGTGGGGAACCAAGATACAAGTCTCAATATGTTACATGGATTACTTTTTTTTTTAACATTTATTTTTTAGTTGTAGTTGGACACAATACCTTTATTTTATTCATTTATTTTTATATGGTGCTGAGGATCGAACCCAGAGCCCCACATATGCTAGGTGAGCACTCTACCACTGAGCCACAACCCCAGCCCAGAGTTACTTTTTAACAGAAATTGGGGTGAATCTTACAGCCAATGAAATGACAGACAATAGAAATACAACAAGAGACCCTATCGGTGTGAACACTTTCGGTATGAGACAGAAGGTCTGAGCCCCACTCTCAAGGCACCTATGCCCACATCAGAAGACTCACCCTGCGGTTGTGGTTGTGGTCCACTGAATGCAGATGCCGTTGGAGGAGCTGGTGCTGCGCGGGAATCAGCATGTCACAGGCCAGGCAATGCGCAGCCTCGATCTTCTTGAAGAAGTGTTCCTGGCCAATCCCTGTCATGCAACCCAAGCAAGTGATGCTTTCTCACTGTTCCCCAACAAATCCCACATTTTCTCCTTTCAATGCTCTCTAATGATTCAGTTAGGACAAAATGAGAAAGGCATTGCCTGCTCTCCCACAGCAATGTGGGGTCACAGCAACTGGCTCTACACTCAAGAATTCTACATGTCAACTTTGCTGATCATTCTAGTCTTCTCTCTTCATAACAAAGAGGGGGGGACCCCCACCATGTTGTTTAACATCACTCTGATAAGCTGCCTGTGGAACTATGATCTCCATTAGCCAGATTTGGGATTTTTTTTCCATTGTAAGTGTTCTTCCCCTGGGGCCTGACTTCACATTCTCAGCAGCTCTCTGCTAAGGATAGAACCCTGGGCTTCTAGCATGCTAAGCACTCTACTAATAAGCTACACACCTAGCCCCATTTGTACTATTATAAGGGTCACTTCCATGCCTTACGATCATTTAAAATAACCTGCTCTCTGGCATCATAACTCACCTTTGAAAGGATCTGGTTTTGGTTTTGTGCTTTCCTTGTCTATCAGTTCCTGACGCCTCTTCTCAATCTTCTTATTCCTGTTTACAATGTATTCCTAGAGGGGTGGGATATGGCACCAAATGAAATGAGAGGACGATATTTCTCACCTGCACAGAGGGTGGGAAGATCCTATCTGAGATTCTGTACAGAAACTATGGTAGCTGGAGCTCTCAACTGCACCTCTGACTCAGTGATTTGTACAACTACTTTAATCTGGGAAAAGAAATTGATCATATTTAGGCTTCTCATTTCCCTACCGCTTCCCTTCTCTGCAAGGGATCTGACACCTGTGGAATAGTTGGGAAATGCTGCAGTGGAGGCCAAGTGTCCTTTACCTGGAGGAACTCTACTGTCTTGTCAGGCAGCTTGGTACTTATAAATCGCAGTGTCTCTTTGTGGAACTTGCTTTGCAAATGCTTCTGGATTTCTTCATCTTCAAAGCTGCGAAACTTGCATACTGAACAGGCAAACTGAATCCTGAAGAAGGAACATGAAAAGAACAGTGGTGAGGTAAGATCACCAGATCATCTCTGGGTAGAGCTGAAATGGTAAAGGAAACACAATTTTTTAACCAAGCCTTCTCACTTTTTGCAGGGAGGCGGAGCAGTAGTTACCCAAACTTACCCCCACCATCTGAAGAACAGGATACAGCCGTGCAGCTACTTCAGGAAAATGATTCACACAATAACTCTTTAACATATCAGTCTCTCTTTAGCCCAAATTCTCTAAGAGAACACCCTGAAATGGTGACTTTTTAGAATTTTGGACTTCCCAATCTCTACTTGACTGCTCTGGGAACTTCGTATTTAACTCCACAGCTTCTCAGATGGGTTTGTCTTTAGCCACCAAGATGACATGTGACAATCTTATTTTATGTGAGAGAAAAATTCTAGTTGCTGTGACACTGCACACCTGTAATCCTAGTGACTCGGGAGGCTAAGACAAGAGGATCCAAGTTCCAAGCCAGGTTGATGGTAGAGCACCCCTACGTTCAATCAGTAGTACTGAGGGGAAAAAAAATTTCTGAAGACTTTACATAATTCAAAGTTCACATAACACAAAATAATTTCTTCCTTGAGACTTAACATTCTGGATTTTATAAATAAAAGCTTAAGCTCCTGTCGTGTGCTTCCAAAGCTTCACCAAATGCAATCAGGTTGTATGGCAAGGGAGAGCAGCTTGCAGCACCCCTGTACACCCCCAACCGAGAGGGTTAAGGGTGCAGGCAGGTGGCATTCAGGATTCCTCATCTGCCAACTCAAACTTCTCCCTACCTGGTTTTGATCTCTGACTACATCATAAGGCACTCTGGCTTTTACAGACAACTCCAAACAGAGGAGCAAAGAGGACTATTTCATGAGTTCCATGAAAAGAACTAAAAGAAAGCTACCAAAGAAAGGCAGGGAATCCACACTTCCCTACTATATTTTTACCTCCTCTGTAACAATCTAAGATGACTGAGATCCTTAGCTTTCCAGTGTGGTCTGTCTAAAGATTTCTTTTTTTTTAAGTTATTTCAGTTTCCATGTTACATGAAAATAGACCCAACTAACAGTCATTTATCTGTTGACGAAAAAAGTTTTCATGAGTTTCTGTACCACTTACGAAGAAATGAACCTGTGACTTCTCAGTCTCTATTGTTTTTTGCCAAGCATTTCTTTGCATGGAAAAATCTGTCCTGTTTGAGCGTTAAGATAAAAAGAGAACCTGTACAGAGAAGCTGCAAAATCGGGATGGTAGGATGATGTATACATATATTCTTGCTATATCTTATTCCAGAGGTGATCTGGATTTGGACAAAGCACCAAGTCACCTTTTTGCCAGCTCTGCTAAATGAAGGTCACTTTCTGGAATGCCAAATGCCAAGCTAGGAGAGAGGACACCCCTCAGGCCTGCTGGAGCACAAGGGAGACCCCTGCTGGGCATGTATGGGCCACACAGTCTTGCCAGCAAGGTATAATTCCAGATGTGAGACTGAGAAAGAAATCCGCCAGAGGTTGATTCACCAAGTAAGAGCAGAAATGCAACTACACCTGTCTTTTCTACATGTTCTCAATTGTTTCCCACGTTCTGTCTACACTGACTTAGGCTTAAGATTTCCTGACACTTGGCATTCAGACCAAACCAGACTTTCCTAAATTATGGAGCCAGAACAGGTAAGCTCAGTAAAGCCGAGACAGTGCCCAGGTCTGGCCACAATAAACAAGGGGTCTGTGCCTAAATCCTTGGCTCTGTTCATCCTCTTGGCTTCTCACCTGTCAGCTGCTCGGTCCCGCATCCTGTCTCTCCTCCTTTGCTTTTCTCGTCTCTTCTTCACTTCCTCGTCCTCCTCATCTTTCTCTCCTGAAACAAAGAAGTCCCTTCGAGATGCTCTGAGGAGTCTGCAGAGGAACTGAGCTCCAAGGCCTTGTTGGGGGCTGCAGTTTGGCCAGCACACCCTATGCCCATGCCCGGCCTCTGCCTCCACAATGTGGCAGAGTCAGGACACCCTGAGGTGTGGCCATCAAAGGCTCCTGATGGACAAGGGTCTTTGATGAGAACCCAGAGGAGTCAGTCACCTCACTCCTCACATGGCCTAACAAGGCAAGGATGGCAAGTCCATCCCACTCACATGTAGCCCGTCTGCTCTGACCTGCCCCAGTTTGCTAGTCCAATCTGGTGCCCTATCATTAGGTCTTCTCACACTGTCACTTAAAGAGAAAGTAATTCTCCCCAGGTACCAACACAGCAGCTGGAAGGCCTGGGAAATAAAACAAGCCACTCTACTGCCCTCCGGATGACCATCCTGACAGCCTCTTCTGAACTAGGGCCTCAGCAGGTCTGACAGTCCTTGCTGGCCCAACCTCCATCTTCCGTTCACAGACACCACCAACCTAGGGCTTTCCCAAGGCTATGTGGGAAGCAATCCTAGAAACAAAAATGGGAAGAGACCAATTGGTCCTCCCATCTGCCCCCTGGGGCCAGCGCAGGAGCTCATTGGAGAGCTTTGTGGCCAGTGTCCCAGTGTGAGATCAGGCAAGTCCTGAGGCTCAGGGCCAGGGCTGAATGCTGGAAAAGGTTGGATAAGCATCTGAACTGTGACCCCTACCCCTGATGCCAGTCCCGATACTGTCCCACGAAGATGGCGACCGGCGTGCGCTGCTCAGAAGCCTCTCAAAAGGGCGTAGTGGGACTTTTGGCAAGAGGTCACTGCCTGAAACTATGACTGCTGTTTAATAGCAAAGTCATCCCAGGTAGGTAGCAGGACCTGCGCGCAATAAACACGTCACCTTTGCTTTAGCATTTACCCGGCTGCATAGCTGCTGAACACTTGGTGTGGTCCTGCACTAAGGACACAACTGCTTCAATATGTAGGGTGGGGGCACCTCAGAGAGTCAGCTAAGCTTGAGAACCTAAGAGGAGAAGCCAAGGGCCTTCACCGTTTACCACAATTGGGCCAGCTTATTATCCCTGGGGTAACCAGTTATGGCCAGACAGCAAGAGAAATAAGTAGTTTTGGGGAGACTCAGGCAGACTGTGGCTCAGGTTTCTTCATGTCCCTCCAAAGGGTAGAATCTTGTTCTTTGCTCACTGCTTACTTTAGGCTCCTAGGTCTCCTGTACTGGACCAACGAGACCTACTGAGCAATGGCTGACTCTAGAGACCTCGGCCTGCTATATCTGACAGGCTGCCCTCTACTACCTTACTCCCAGCCCTGACAGGTATCTGCTGTCACATACCCGCAGGCACTACAGGTGCCAGTATCCCCAGCAGGGAGACTGAGGGCACAGCTCTGGGTTGGCAACTGACAGACTGACTGGATTTATAAATTCCACGACAGTTCAGGAACCTGCACTGGCTGGAGGGAGACAGAGAAGATGGGACAGAATGGAGGCCTCTTCCCTTAGGCTTCTGAGACTATCCCTTCCTACCATCACAAATGTCACAGACACTGAGTTGGGCTCCCCGACTCTGCAGCCTGCACCAAGGAAGGCAAATGGATCCTTTTTCAGCAAATAATGCCCCAGACATTTTGGAACAAAGTCTCAGAGTGATTACCACAACTTATACCCACCCAGCAGCCACAGCCCCCCTTTACCCTGAGTCATGGGCCCCTCTATGCAGGCCTGTGGCATGCTCATAAGCCCACCCTGACTGGGTGATGGGTGGTAAATGTGGGATAGACACAGGACACTTAACAAGGGACACTGGGTAATGCCTACCTCTCTGCCTCCCGGAGTCGCAGAATTCGTCCTCCTGAAAAAGGGCATATGCAAAGTTGGGCAGTGAGGTAGTACTTCCAGAATTCTCCACAAAAAGTCCAGCCCATGTCAACACCTGATAGATGGTGTTACCCTAGACCTAGGATGCTGTGCCACCAGGAAATGAGCCACTGTGCATCAGGACAAGCCTCAAGACTTTGGAGAGGAGCTTGAAAGTCTTGCTGCTATACCTGGTTGCCTTCAGAGACTCTGTGATAGTGACTTTTCTGTCATCAAGTCGCTAACCCTTTTTCAGTTCTTTCTAAAGCTACAAAACTTGCCCCTTAGCAAATACACATCTGTAGTTTTGCACTCCAGAATACCAGGAGCCCATCTATTAACTGTAGGTTAAGCTATGATTTTGGGCTGGGGATGTGGCTCAGCAGTAGAGTGCTTGCCTAGCATGTGCGAGACGCTGGGTTTGATCCTTAGCACCACATAAAAGTAAATAAATGAGATAAAGGTATTGTGTCTGACAACAACTTAAAAAAAAAAAAAAATATATATATATATATAAAGAAGCTATGATCTGTAGGAAGCTAATTCCAGCATTCTGAATTGAAAATAGGCTTCAAATTTCCAAGCATTTGTTTGTATTTACACAATATTCTAACAAATCAGGTGTAAATAAAACACAATCCCTCTAACTGTATACCTGAACAGAGCTTATGCCTTAGGCAGTGAGCCTAAGATTAAAGTAGCAGTCAGAAGACTTGCAGAGCTTCCCTGACTCAAGACTTATGCTATGGGTTTAATAAAGATCTAAACCAGCTGAATAAGAAGCAAGTGAGAGTCAAAAGCTACAGTCACTGTATCCTGAGAACCCCCACCCTATCTGACCATCAAAAAGAATCTGGAAGAAGGCTTCTCATACAGGAAACCTTCTCTAGGATCTACCCCTCAGAAGGATCAGAATTTGCAGAACACAGGGAAGGTACCCTCCCCAGAGACATGGTGTGGTCTTAAGACCTGGCTTTAGATGCCACTATTCTGTGGCTAGTTTTGAGGACAGAAAAAACATGGACTTGGGTCAGTCACACCCAGCATGTAGCTGGCAGCCAATGAGCCTCCAGTGTGTGTCTGCCAGTCTCAGCTTGCACAACCCGTGCATTTACTACGCACATGGCTGGGTCCAACACTACATAGGATCAGGGCAAGGGGCTAGAAGCTCTTTTAGAAAGAGAATCATTCTTGTCTGAAAAATCTTAGAAACTCAGCTACAAGCTGGGGTTCCAAATCCACTCAGAGGTAGGCAGAGTGGAGTCTAGCAGGGTAGCTATCCCCACCTCTTGAAGGAGAAGTGCAATAAAAGAAAAAAATCCCACTGAGACAAAGGGGGCTGGCCCCTAAAGGTGGACTTACACCCCTGAATTCTTCATCTCCTGACCGGAAGTCGCCAGCTCCATCATCTGCCAGATACAAGGGAAAAGGAAAAGTCAGTCCCTGGGTGAGTGGTGCCATTCCCTGTTTTCACTCTCCTATGCTTACTAACCAGACCAACAAGTCCATCCTGACACAGTAGGGGCTGAGGGAACTTGGGGTTAACACACCACCCTTGGTTTCCCTCATGTCTACTGGGCAACTGACTCATCTCGTCTACCCAGCCCACTGGCCCCAGGGCATACCGTTTTCAGAAAAATCTCCTTCGCTGTCAGCCCGAGCCAGTTTGGCTTCTGGTTCCTCGTACATGGGAAACTGCTTTCGCTTCCTGCCCATGCTGTCTGGTCCGAAGCGCTCAAACCCTCTCCTCCTGGGCTACAGATATAAGCACACCCCATGTACCACTTCCCTGGGCCATTAAGATATCCCACAAAAATGAAGAACACAGTTCTTAAGATCCAAGAACAAAAGCAGAAAACAGTCTTTTTGAAAAGCAGAGAA